CAGTATTAATATAAAAAAAACAGTATCAATATTATGCAACCACAATAGTGAATATAAAAATAAAATGATGTTAAGAATGGCAACAACACGAACAGAATGAAAAATATTGAATAAAAATAATATGAACAACAATAAGTTAACAATTGCAATTATTAAAGCACTGGTCTTTATAATGGCATTCGAAATAATGGAAAGATAACTGAAGTAATAATGACATGGAAAATGATAGCATAGTTATAGTAATGATAACGCTGATAAAGGAAATAACGACAAATAGATCATATCTGAGAGTGAGTGAGAGAGAGAGAGAGAGAGAGAGAGAGAGAGAGAGAGAGAGAGAGAGAGAGAGAGAGAGAGAGAGAGAGAGAGAGAGAGAGAGAGAGAGAGCAGTATGAGCATATCTATGTGTATCTGTATGTGCATGTATATATATATATATATATATATATATATATATATATATATATATATATATATATATATATATATATATATATATATACATATATATATATATATATATATATATATATATATATATATATATATATATATATATATATATATATATATATATATATATATATATATATTCACACATATACACACATACAAAGTTATATTGCTAGCTAAATATATGTATATATATTTATATCATACACACGCACACAAATACACAAAAGCACCCAGACAATTACATAATTTAGCGTCAAACCGCCTGAAACTATAATCTCTTTTTCTCAAGGGATGCTGAGATGTAGCCAGACGTTAGAAAACACTTGAGAGAAGAATTGTAAGTGAAAGGTGCTTGGAAAAGGTAAAGGAGACCTAAACTTTCTTTTGAGCACTTTGCCTCTGCGTTTGCCTTAAGAATATGAGAACAGTGTAGGGTAAGGAATGGCTGTTGAAAGGGAAAGAAGACTGGATTGGATTCAGTTTAATTTTTGGTGGGTTTCAGTGTGTATGTCGGTGGATGTTTATCTCTCTCTCTTTCTCTCTCTCTCTCTCTCTCTCTCTCTCTCTCTCTCTCTCTCTCTCTCTCTCTGTCTCTCTCTCTCTCTCTCTCTCTCTCTCTCTCTCTCTCTCTCTCTCTCTCTCTCTGTCTCTCTCTGTCTGTCTCTCTCTCTCTCTCTCTCTCTCTCTCTGTCTCTCTCTCTGTCTCTCTCTCTCTCTTTCTATCTCTCTCCCTCCTCCCCCTCTCTCTCTCTCTGTCTCTCTCTCTGTCTCTCTCTCTCTCTTTCTATCTCTCTCCCTCCTCCCCCTCTCCCTCTCCCTCTCCCTCTCCCTCTCCCTCCCTCTCCCTCCCTCTCTCTCTCTCTCTCTCCCTCTCTCTCTCTCTCTCTCTCTCTCTCTCTCTCTCTCTCTCCCTCTTTCACTACCCATCAATAACCAGAATCACATGACATGAAAACACTTTTGAGATCTCTAATAGCTCTTGTAAATTCCTGACTTTAATGCACTTAACATCACCTCCGTTAATAGTACAAAATTATAGTGACAATGAATTAGGTAATACAGGGAAAAAGGTAGAAGTGATACTATTTATTGATACTGATAATTAGAAATGCGTAGGTGAGATGATGATGATGATGACGATGATGATGATCATACGAATAATAAAAATAATATAGATTGAAATAGAATAATATCGACTATAATGATATCAGTAATAACAACTAAAGTAGTAATAATGATAATGATAATATGAATGCATAATAATAACGGTGATAATGATAATGTAAATGCATAATAATAACAATGGCAATGATAATAATAATAATGTACATCAGAATACAACAACAAATTAATGATTAAATACCAAGATTAAGAGTAATAATAATTATAAGACAAAAAAATAATAAAAATAATAAGAACAACAATAGCATCAGTAATGGTAATGATGGTGATAATATCTCTCTTTTAATTGTAATAATGATTATAATGATGACGACGACGACAACAACGACAGTGATAATGGTGATCTTAGTAATGAAAATAACGATAATGATTATAATAACACACACACACACACACACACACACACATACACACACACACACACACACACACAACGTTATGTTAGTCATAATGAAAAATAGAATATGTGAATAAAGATGAAAAGCAACCAAATAAAGATGAAAAGTAACCAAAAGTGTCATTGAAATTACCTTAAACAAAAAGATAACGACAATAATAATAATAACGATGGTACTAATAACGAAGACAAATAATCGAACGAATAATAACGACAATAATAACAACACGAGCAATACCCCGATTTTAATTTTACAAATAAAAACCTATAAAAACTATAAAACCTATAAAAAAAAATTAAAAAAAACAATGTAAGGTTAATACTACAGTAATGATACTAATAGTCCAAAGCAAATTACTGGCTCTCTTGTTAATCTTTCCAGGGATAGTCATTGTAAAAGTGCTAGGAAATAATGATGTTCATAACGGCTATAATTACATCTAAAATCATAATAGCTTTCATAATAATAATAATAATGAAAAGGAAAATTACAAAAATGTTGATGATAACAATGAAGATCATAATAACTAAAATGATAATAATGATGATAATAATAACAACAACAAAACAATAGTAATTATGATAATAATAATAATGATAATAATAATAATAATAATGATAATAATAATAATAATAATATGATATAATAATAATAACAACAACAGTGATAATGATTATAATGTCAATAACAATAATGACTACTACTATTACTACTACTACTACTGCTATTATTACTACTACTACTACGACTACTACTATTACTACTACTACTACTACTACTACTACTACTACTAATTATAATAATGATAATTATAATGATGAAAGTAGGATACTACTAATAATGATAATAATAAAATACTAATAAAAAGTTCATGAATAATGTTGATAATAATACTGACAGACAGTGATAATGATAATAATATTTAACATTGGTAACGATACTGGCAGTAACATAACAGAGATCACAATAACCAAAGTGCCAATACTTCTACAATTATCATTATAACTGCGCTTGCTACTATTACTACAACAACAACTATTACTATTACTGCAGGGCTGTCTTGAAAATAAAAAAGTGATAATAGTAATAATGAATATAAGAAGCGTATGAAATAAATAGTAGGTATATGTGTACACTTAAATATTTAGATATTTATTTGTTTTAATGCATATATGCAGAATAGGTCTATGTGAATTTTCGTCTGTGTTTACCATAAATATATCGTTAATATGCACATAGAAACAGACACATTTGCAACTGGATGTTAAAATGAAAACTGGTATATTATTGATCACTATTAATAATACACACTTTTCATATTTCTCATTACGGATTTGTGTGTGGGAGCGATCCATCATGATTATTGTTTCTGGAATTAAGAGTATCTAGCAAAACTTGTATATCCTGCACGAGGAAATGGACAGCAAGTTAACCGGAAAAAAAACTTTCATTTTATAAAACAAAATTTCATTTTTGTTTTAAGTCCTCTTCGTTTGATTAGCTATTTTTGTTGTTGTTTTTCTTTTCAGAGCTTGTTTTAGATTTAGACTAATTTATAAGTAAAACTTTTATAAACAGTTGGGATAAATATCAGAAGCATATCTTAATGTATGTATGTATGTATGTATGTATGTATGTATGTATGCATGTGTGTATATGTGTATGTAAGTATGTACGTATGTACGTATGTATGTATGTATGTATGTATGTATGTATAATCTTTATTCTATTCATATATTACATGTTAATGGGAAGACGAATAATATTAATTAGAAATTAGATCCATATGAATTGACTACGAAAAATAAAACAAAGAAAGTATAACTGTAATGAGAATAATATAGAAACGATAATGGTAGCAATAATGAAGCCTTGTAATAAGATTATAAAAAAATAGTTTCAATATAATTAATACTGATGATGATGATGATGGAAACAATAACAATAATAACAAAATAATC